AGGATGCGCACGAGTGGATCTACAAGGTAGAAGGATATTTCACCATCAATGGGTTGACAGAGGAGGAGAGACTAACGGTGGCGGGCCTATGTTCAAAAGGGAATGCTTTGTCTTGGTATCAGTGGAGGGACATGCGACAACCCATACGGAGTTAGAGAGAGTTCAAGGACTGTTTGGTATAACATTTTCAAAATGGTATGGGAGGAGACTTCTATGAGCAATTCTTTGCCTTAACACATGAGGGTTCAGTGATGGAGTATCGGGAGATATTCAAGTACCTTAATAGCCGATTAGACTGCCTTCCTGAGATAGTGCTAAAGGAAAATTTCATGAAAGGACTGACACCAGAGATCTGGGCAGCGGTTAGAGTAATGAGGCCTCGTGACTTGAGAGAGGCTATGGAACTAGCTCAGTTGGTGGAGGATTAGAGGCACCTAGAGATAGAAACTGGAGGCAGTAGCTCAGTAGGCTCATACAGGATGACCACCACCTTTTCGGCACCCAAGGAGCCAATACCGTGTACTCTTAGGGGGACTTCAAAGGAGAAGACTACTGAAGGAAAATCTGGGGACAACTTTAAGAAGCTTACAGAGATAGAATTACAGGAGAAGAGAGTGAAGGGGCTCTGTTTCAGATGTGACAAGAGGTATACGCCGGGGTACAGGTGTAAGGACCGAACTCTTCAGGTTCTTACCGTTTGTGATGAAGAAGGAATAGAGGAGAGTGTCGTCTTTCTACCTTGCGGACAAGGTGGATCTATGCGAGGGGAGTATTGTTAGACCGGTGCATCGGACCGATCCAGCCGATCTGACGGGACCAGCCCAAGTGTTATCATCTGCCTCCTGTAGGCACCGAATGCATGCACGGCGTGCGTAAGCTGTTTTAGGAAGTTTTGTTAAAGGAGTTAGGAGGGAAATTGAATGTAGTGATTGTTTAGAGATTTCTTTTTGATTTGTATGCATTAAATAGTTTGTTTTCCTAGGGTTAGGGCATCTTGAATTTGGGCGAAATTTGATCTCTTCGACTTAGATTTTCTTTTGGGCTCTAGCGACGTCTAGAGATTTGGAAGAGATAGATCCCCCTCTCAAATTGAGGATCAACGGTATCTTGCTATTTTTCTGCTTCCATTTCATCAAATAATACAAATTATCTATTATTTTCATGATTTTGTGCAAATTTTTGTGAAGAAGCTAGCTATTTTTTGAAGATTGATAGAAAATGCTTGAGATCTACAAGTGTTTTCTATCAGAACCCTCATGATTTTGCTAGAAGTAGCCACCATTGAGGATTGGGAAGAAGAATCAACTTTCTTCCTTTTCAGGCACAGAGCTATAAGCAACTACATTATCTAGTATTTGATGTCTCACTAACAACATGACATTAAGAGTGAAGAAACAAAGAGCAAAGAAAACTCAATAAGCCAAAGACCTCAAGGCTCATTTCAAATTTAATTCAAGTATAAATTTATTTTGAAATGAGATGAAATAATTAAGGTGGTTCATATTCTTCCACCAAATGATAGAATCAAAGTCGCTAACATGACCTATATTGAGTGTCAAAATTTAAAAAAAAAAACACTATGTACTATGTATCAAAGACATGAAAGATCACCATGTGTCATATTGATCTTAAAATTACAGAATTTATATGATAAATAAGCCAAACGGGATGAGTTTAAGTTAGTTGAGTCAGGTTTGAGTCAAATATTTTACAAGTCAGACACGAACCAAACAACCAACCCAAATTGATAACCCTGTGGCTGATCCTCTATGATTTTGACAGAGAATGCATTTGAGTTTGGTCAAAGACAAAGTGTTTTAGTGTTGCTTATTCTGAGAGATAAGTTTAAGCAAAAATTGAAGTAAAGGCAATGGCTCTTAGGCTTGGTTAATGTTTATGAATCAGAGAGTTGGTTTGAAGAGCCTCAAAACGAGGACCAATTCATGGAAATAGCTCCAAATTTTCCTGAACTATTCTCATAAAATGGTCTTCCATATGAATGAGTTGCCTAGTAGTTACATAATCTTATTGTTCTACTTGCAGAGATCTCTTTCTTTCACTGTTAAGTTTCATGGCTTGAATTATTGTCCCTGGCATCGTTCATGCTCATCACACCTTTTATGATGTTGAATGCAAATCTATCTGTGGGCAACATCAAAATTTTACTATCATTATGTCAGTGGATTACAAAATCTTGATTTTTATACTTGAGGAGATCTAACACCCTTTTGTCATGGTATTTCATGTCTTGGCCTCTTATCATCAATATCGCCAACACCCACCACACCTTTTAGGAGTTAGATCCAAATATGTTCATAGGTGACACCATCACCTTACTATAAATCACAATTCAAGCCTAAAAGATAAAGATCTAGAGAGAGAAGATCTATGAATCACTTAAATTTCAGTTTCAAAAGTATGTGAAAAAAATAATATAAGCATGTGTTGACTTAATCCACTAACCTATTATTTATCAATTTGGTTTAAGATAACATTAAAAAAATTTATGAAACAACAATAAAAACAACAACTTCAATGAAGGACGTAGTAAACAGGATATACAAGGCCAGATGTTATCCCAGAGTTCAATGACTTTTGTCAAATTGTATGTTAAAGGCAAGTTCTCTATAATGTATTATATAAAATTCCATTGGCAAGTTCCTATGATTGATAAGCAAGCATCCTTAATTGGCAGGAAAGTACTCTTGAAAAAGTAGCTGAGATCTTTGTGAAAGCTACTTATAAATTATGTACGACTTCAATATGCTAATCTCTAGACATAAGTTTTCTATGGGAGACCAAAACTTTGAGGCAACTTATGGCTTTGGGTAACTTCAACATTGGTGAATACCAGTTTGATTTTTAGATTGGTAACTTGCTAAATCTGGTTCAAGCTCAGACGGTGACTTGATTCTCTAGACCCAAGCAAGTATGGGAGTTTAGCACGATCATATGCAACTATGAAATTAAGCAAAGTTTCTCCTACCAAATTTTGAGGTTGTTTGGCAACAAGTAGGATTTAACTTTAGTAGGATTTAGTAAATCCTGTAAATTTGAATTTAGTAAATCTTGAGTGCGTTAAATCCTAAAAACTATTTGGCAAGATATTTATTAAATCTCGTTAAATCCTGTGAAACTGTTTGACAAGTAAGTTAGGATTTAAGGTGCTTAGTTCAATAAAAATTCAAATTTAATTAGTATTTTTAAATAAGAATTGCTAATTAATTCTAATTTTAATTACCATCAATAAATTATAATTAGAAATAAAATAATTAGAAGTTGACTCTATCAAATAACATAAGTAATGATTTAATTATTAATGACAAAATTAATTATCTAATTATTCATTTAGATATTGTTCTAATTAATATTTGATTACTAACTACACTGAAAATTATATAATTAATTATTTTATTATTTTTTTGAAATAATTAATTATTTAATTACTACTTATACTATTAATTATTTTAAGTGTTATTTTAATAAAATTTTAATTAATTAGTATACTATAATTATTTATTTATTTATTTAAGTTTTCTCTTGCTAAAAAATTATTAATAGTAATTTATATAGTTAATTCTCTTATTAGTTATTTATATTTTAAATTATATTAATTAAATTAATTAGACTAATTTCTAATTAAGAAAATAAAATTAATTTAATTCTTCCCAATAGCTTAGGAGGCGTCTAGGGTTTGCTTTCACTCTATTTCATCATTGTTGTTCGACATCATTGCTTCATGTGAGGTATTACTTTGCACAAGTTGCTACTTCAGCTCCTTTCTGTGTTGTTGTTCGAGTTTGCTGCAACGATTCTCTTATTCGGCTCCTTCAATGATGTTCTGCTCCTTTCAGATCAGAATTCTTGACATTTCGATGATGTTCTTCATGTTGAATCGAAAATAATGATGGGAACTCACTTGCTATGAAGATAACTATCTTTCTCCCTTTCGCATGCTTCTCGGCCCAATCCCGTAAATCTGTCGAAGTCCAAGATTTAGTAAGTCCAGGATTTATAGCAAAAAGAGTAAATGGAGGATTTATTCCGCCGTGAGATTTACCTAGTGTTCACATGTGAAACCCCTTACGTAAAAAGAAAATAAACTCTTAAACATCAAGGCTCATTTTGGTGTAATTGTTGAAAATTTATTAAGAAACTCTGCAGTTAAGCAGGCTCATCTCTGAGAAATCATAGGATGGGTGACCTCCTGAGAAGTTAGCCAACAGACCAAAATCGTGAGACTCTTAAGCTAAAACGGGCAATATCTCGATAGTTTAGAGCTTGGGTTGTTACAAATGGTATTAGAGCAATACACCTGCCGGAACATAGGAACTAAGTATCATGCAAGACAAAGTTCTACACCATGGGAGCCACCTCTTGAACCTTGTATGGGACAAAGTGCTACGTGGTGGTCACCACTTGAATGTGTAGGGGCCACCTCTAAAATCATATCTATTGGTGGATGATTATGGCATAAAGATACTGACGAGTAACGTACAAAAGCTTGTCACAACCCAATCTGACCAGGACAAGTCCTATCATGTTGAGCTATGACATAACATCCTGTTTGGCAGGATTTAACATAAATCCTACTCAAATCCTACATAAATCCTATTGTCAAACAGCCCCTTCTATATTCCACCACATACCATCAAAAAATTTTCAGACCTATCCATTCATATGAAAATCTAATCTTTACTGCAACCCAGTACGAAATCCAAGCTCTGATTTCAGCAACCTTAAATGAAGAAAAGATGTGGAAGAATAACTCAACCACAAAAGCAAAAAACCAAACTAAGCATAGAGCATCGAGATCAAAGCGGCATGATACAGAATTTCGCATATATTTCCAGCCAATCAACAGAATTCACACAACCATGAATCATCATAATTTAGGAGTGATCAAATGGATGACGTCCACATGAATAGGCATACAACGCAAGATAACCAGCTGACCATGGGAACTTAAATTATTCAAAGAGGACCCAGAGGAGCCATACCTGCAAGTCTACAACTGTGGCAAGCCGCAGGCCTCTTATCCAATCTCCCACAATAAATCTCGAAATAAAGCCCTAGAATCAAGAACGTAAATTCAGTATTCATTCGAGATAATTTAAAAAAGAAAAACATTTAAATTTTCCATCAGGAGATTCGCTCTGGTGAGACCAACCAAAAATTACCAGAAGAAAAAAAGACCTGTTCTCTTCCTATCTCATAATTGTTATGGTAAGCTACGACCGAGCAGAAGAGGTGAATTTAAAGAAGGAATGAATTATGGAATTCATTCCAATGAGTCGCAGATTCGAATCCAAGACCCATTTTTATCCTTTTCTTGTAACCCAATGTCTGCTCGGGCCCTACGCAGATGGAGGAATCAGCTCCCATTAATTTCTGACGAACAATCTGGCGTGGATAATGACTGAGGACGGCTATAATCATAACCCTAGCTCTAGAACTTGGCGAGGTGGATCCAGCTAAGTACCCACTCCCGCGAGAAGCCGTCACCTCGAGGCCCTCGCCTACCCGAGCAATTCTCCGCCATGGAAGACCCGCATGAACGCAGCGAGATCTCGAAGACATCTGGTTTTTTTATGAGGACCGCGGGAGACTATTTGAGTACACATTCCAACTAATAACTGTTTGGAGATTTACATAAATATCATAAATTTTTTATTTATATCTAATATTAAAATTATCACATTTTTTATATATTATTTAATTATCTATATAATAATAAATACATGCATAATAAATATATATTTTATTTTAAACAAATTAAAATTATTAATATTTTTAATATAACTTTGATATTTGAGCATTATATAAATAAATAAAAATTTTGAATGTTATACATAACATTTGAATTTTGTGGTATATATTTAAATCCCTCTAATTTTTTTGTGCTCCAATATTTTTGGGTCAATATATCTCTTTTTTTATTTTCTTAGAGAATTATACTCAAGCTCCTTTCAACTCAAATAGCTTCACTTTTAACAAATAGAAGTTGAAACCCTCATTGAACAATTACTCAAGCTTTCAAACGTAAAAGCTCAATGGCGCTTACTCTTCTAAGCACCTTCTACAAATCAAGTGATGTTTCTCTATAGGAGGCATGAAAACATGATTGAACCATCTTTAAATCTCGATTAGATCACATTTAAATTATCTTTGAACTGTGTATAAACTTCAAACAAAGTTTGAATTATATTTGGATATGGTTCGCATAAGGTTCAATCATAGTTTGAAGATGATTTGATTCGATCATTGTTAAACATGGTTCAATTATTATTAAACTATAGTTTGTTTTATTTTGTCCTCATTCTCTTCTCTGTAATTCATTCATTTGAATTATTTTATTATATGATTTTGGGTTTTAAATTGATCAAAAAAATATAAAAGACGCGATATCTTAATTTCTAGGAAATGTTCACTATGTAACTTTTAGATATTTCATGGGGGCTTTTCATATTTGATGCATACTCAATAAGAAAAGTAAGATAAAAATGCATACAAAATTGATAAATGACTACTAAATTAAGATAATTTAGAATTAGTTATATCCATAGTAAATTGGCATGATATAAATAGATAGTGATAGAGCATGCATAGTTGGCATAACATATATAATTGACATGAAATTATTTAATTGGCTACTTTAATTTGTACATGTGTAATTAAACTAGTTAGTAGGTATAACAGTCAAGTGGTGGCAACAATGAGGGATTGATCTTGAGGTTGTGATTGTGATTCATTGAGTGAGACTAAGGTGTAATAACTCAAATATGTGAAATAATTTTTTTTTGAAAAATATATATGAAAATTCTAAAGAAAAGCGCTTTGGTGCTGATTTGATGAGCACTATTGTGCCAGGCTATGAATAGTATATATATCCTTGCCTCATCCCACTGACTCCTTCATTTGATTGCTTGGCCATGAAAAAATTGAAAGAGGGGAAGAAGAAAGAGGAGATAGAAAAGCTTTTTGATTATATTTGTCGGTTATTTTGTTATAAATTTTTATTCTATTATTTGTAAGTGATTAATCTCTTATTTTTAATATCAGTTATTTTAATTTATACGAATTTAATCTCTCATAAATCTGTCAAAAATATATTATCTCCTTATTTCATAAGCTTTTACTATGTAAGTTTGGATATATATGTTATAGATTTGATCTTTCTGAATAATTTGATATAATTTTATTACATTTTTAAATAAAGTACTGAATGATATTAGATACATGATATGATAACTCCATGTAATACCCTAGTGATCCACATGATTCACTATTTAGGAGTCATAAGAAACTGAAGATTGATTGAGAGTTATAAGGAGTCGGGACGACTGATTCATATGATTTAAGGGGAGTTATAAGGAGTACATTGATTGGGAGTTATAAGGGGAAACTCATTGGAAGTCATAAGTGTAGGAGCAAGATACCCTTAAGATACGCTCATTAAATATCTGAATACTAATACCGACTGCTACAAATATTGTACTGATATTGTGAGTAACACTAATAATATTTACTGTCATTAATATTATTTAACATTATTGATCAAGATATTAATATTATTATTAATTTAGTATTATTGACTATTATCATTACTATGATTGATGATATAATGGATTGAGATACGATGAACTATAGAAGAATAAATTGATACCGATAATCAATATAGACATTGATGCATATATTTCTTAACATAATTTAAAGAATATTATTCTCTTTTTTCTTGCATTGATTTAAGTTGTAAGATTTTAGTTACTTGTTGGGATATATACTCGTTACGTGATTTTACATATTTTTAGAAAAGCGTAAGGATCCTATGATATGAGACTTCGGACAAGAAAAAAATGTAATCATATTTTTTTATGCTATTTATTGGTAAGCTCTGGCTAAATGATAAAGTTGAAAGATAGATGTAATTCTTTCAATATAAATCCTGAAGTGTGATATAAGATGAGGGTTCTGAACCTTGGAGCAATACTGTAACTTAATGTGGGTTGGTCCCAAGTAGGTTTCCATGGTTGGTTAATCTCAAGGAGCTCATTTAGACAACCTTTTAGGAGATTCTAATCCGAACAATTGTTTTCCATATGTATATTTTGAATTGAGTGCAATAAAAGTAGTAAGTATATAATCATGCTCACTTATGCATATATATATACCCACACACACACACACACACCTACATATACATACCCATGCACAAGAAAATGTATATTTTCATATGCACACATAATTAGATGCAAATTCATGCATGCACTCATATACATATAGATATATTCATATACAATGAGGTTTGAACTTCTAATCTGATCCACTTTTGCTTTGTTATCAAGTATATGTATTATTCATATTGTGTATACTAGAATATTCACTGTAGTAGAAAATGAGAGTTTGATGTCTTCATTGCATGAAGATTCAACACATTCATAGATAAAAAATTGTTGCAAAAGACACCAACTTTTTTTGGTTAAAAGCCTGTAAGAAAATCATGTATCCTTGCCTAATTAAAATAATTTTAATGGTGTATATCATTGATTGCTAATAATGCCCTTCCCCATAATTACAAAAAACGTTAACACAGTGTAATAGACATGAACTATAAATAATGGATTTCATGCAGAAAGTTTGAGGAGCTTTAACAATATTAAAGCTATTTTCAAAAAAAAATTTATGATATATTTGATCATTCTCATTTGATGAGAGAAGACCTGTGATGAAGAAGTCCAGCATAAATCTTAATGTTGATATCGGGAGTTAGATTTGATGTCAACACCATGCATCAACTATATTGCCAATGGTATGAATCAATGTTATTGAACTTGGAAAACAAACAAGTTGACGAGGTGTCAATATGAGTATTAATGGTGTGCATCAACTTTATAGAATATGAAATACATCGATGTTACAAGCGATGACAAGTGGTAGAGCCAAAGGGGATCAGCATTTATGTTGATATCAAACTTTTATCTTATAATTAAAGGCGTGCATCATCATATGGGTGATGAAGTCAACAATCATTGATGTGTATGATGATGATATTTTTCAATTTTATCAGTAATGGTAGCTAATAAAGTAAATGGATACCGATGTCTATATTAGCATTATGCATCAACCTTATAGGTAATGGTATAAATCAATATTATTGACATGATGGGTGATAAAATAAATATGTATAGATATTTGTGTAGATAATATGCATCAACCTTATAGGTGATACAGTGCACCAACATTGTTGGTGATGATGGGAAACAAAGTTGATAGATATCTAAACTTATGCTGAAAAAATGCATAAACCTAACAAAATAGTGTGTGTCAATATTATTGATGGTGAAAAGTGATGAACTCAATGGGTGTTGGATGCATTGGTCTTACTAGTGATGGCATGCATTGATGTTGATAGGGATGGCAGAAAACCATAATTAGGCGACAATTGTAGGAAGATCATAACATGCAATGATTGTAAGAAGACTATATTCGCATGATGGGGATAGTAAACTTTAGTCAAGTGATTGTGGTTTGGAGACTATATTCAAGTAGAAACAATCATTATAAGATGGTAGCCGGATGATAGTAATTAGGAGATTGCAATCATATGATGATGCTTAGAAATTTATGGTCAAGTAATGATGGTCATAGGTCTGTAATTGGGAGACAGTGATTGAAAAACTGTAACCTAACAGTGATTATTGGACAATGCTGGTCGAGGAATGAAGGTTATGTGATGGAAATCAGATGACAGTGGATAGGTGATGATCAACATGCAATGATGATTGTTTGCAATGATTGTCAAGGTTGAACATTAGGTGGGTGATGAGGGCGATGGAGTAACTTAAAGAATTATGAAAATAATTTATAGCTCTATTAATCCTGAAATAATGCTTAGGTTTTGTTTGATATAAAAATTATAAAAATCCCCACTTAATATACGCAAGCATATGTGTCAAATCAAATAATATAGTGATAGAGTAGAGTATCGATCCCATGAGGAAGAATGCTTACTTGTAAATACTAGTACTTTCTATTTCAACTATGACAATTATCTTACTCAATTAAAATAAGTTTTAATAGAGATTCAATCACTTAATTTAAAATAAAAAAGTAACTAAATAAAATACTGTTTGGATAAATTATTTTGGATTGATAGAATACAAATACAATATATTTCCTAATGATTCTCTTTTATATTAATGTTATTTAGAATATATGCATCACTGATCGCTCAGTCAAGCGTGCAGAGACAAATGACATATCAAACTCTTTCAATCTTAATACAACTCTAAACTCCCACAATCTATCACCCTATGAAAATCTAAGAAGAGTAAGTAAAATATGTACTGCTAAAACCCTCTCATGATAATTCATCTATATAAATTTGATACATGACAAGCACCATGTATATGCTTACATCATACCAATCTAACATACTTGGTTGTGCAAGCTTTCCTATTCCTAGGCTTTATATTACATCTAATATGAACTATACATATGACCACTATGTATATTAAATGAAGACGTTATATATTCAAAATATTATGAAATTATTAAAGAAGAGAATTTATTAGCACTCCATATTTCATTCACACCATCAATCCAGAATT